TGATCCAAAATAGGTTACATGGGCCCATCGTCAGTGTTAGGTCAACAGGCCCAGTAACAAGCAAAGCTCACATTAGGCCAATTAAGCTATTGGGTCTGCTTCAAACCCATTGGCCCAATGCTTGTGGGTTGGATCATTGGGTATGAAGTCTCATTGGATTCATAAGACAATTAAAAATGGGTCATTGGACATGAGGCTCACATTAAGCCATTATTTAGTTATTTGTCTGTTTATGGGCTTCTCATGGTGGGCTTAAATGGGCCGAGTAATGCGCGCCTTTTTGTTGGGCCATGTCTCACTCTCTTTCTTTCTGGTGCAGTCGCATTTCCAGTTGTCTTCTTTCTCCGTCTATTCTGGAGCGCCTGGTGTTTCTCCCTGTCTGCTTTGTCCTTCTGCCTACAGAGGTCCATCCAGGGTGGGAGGGGGAGTCCGAAGGACGGAAATGTCTCTGTACTTCGCAGAAAATCGGAAAATTTCGGTATTTCGCTGTCTCCGGCAAGTAGAGCAGTGCCCCCTCGACGGGTTGTCTTAGTTCGCCGTTACTTCTCCTTTCTTCCCACGGCTTTGGTCGGCGGATGGAGCTGTCGACCTGAAAGCGCCGGCCTCACCTCCGTCCACCTGGTACGGCGGCGGGGGCACTGCGTGATTTTCCCTTCCTACAGAAGGTTAGACAGACCCTTGTCTTTTCCTCCATTCCCTGGAGACAAGGTTTGTCAGGTCTATCTGGACATTGTCTACGTCTTGGTCCTGGAATGCCCAGAAAACATTATTGTCCTGTCTGTGTTTTCCGTTTAATAGCTTCCTTTTTTTTTCTTTAATAGGGGCGTTAAATTTAAGTCGCAAATTAATACGAATATGCGGAAGGAAAAGTTTCTTTTTTAACACGTATCCAACTTGATATCAGATGCACCGATTGTCAAAAGAAATTGGGAGAGGGATGATTCATCCGGAAATCAACAAAAACGGAACTACTCAAGAAGATCAAATACCTAGTGCATCCATGGGCTCTGGCTTCCCAATAACGGGTAATGACCCAAGTGATGTAGATTGGGAAGACGGCACCGTTTCTGGCTCTTATCATACAGATGATCAACCGGATATGCTTGGAACTGGTGTGACTATTGAACTCAGTGAGTCGCCATCTTTAGGTCAACAGAGAACTATTCGAAGAGCTTCCGCGGAGGACAAGGTTTATCATCTTATTTCAGTTCAGTGCTTTTTCTCGATGTAGTTATACATACTCCATCGTTCATCTTATTCAAAATCAAGTTTGACTTGTCACAGTTTTCCAGATATTGGCAGAACTTGTTCACAAGGTGCATCTATTAAGTTTAATTGCGCGGGGAAGGTTAGTTGACTCTGCATGTGGCGATCCGCTAATCCAGGTGCTTTAATCCTACATCTTTAGTCTTTGAACAATGAATGCTTATCATCACATCATTTTATCGTCTTTGTTTTTGTTAATTTTTCTATGACAGATGTATGTCGTTTGTTGTAAAAGTATTTTTATTTTATGCATTTAATAGTTTTTAGATGCATGATTGTGCTTCCTATCATTCCCTCTCACAAAAGAAGGCTCGTTGGATCTTTGGGTTGCTTACATGCATGCATGAGTTGAAACTTTTTGGTTAATTTGACATGCTCCCTTCAGACCGTAAAGGATTAGGGAAAAAATTTAATGGGCTGTGTTGCTATTGAGTGCCTTAGGCAAAGCGAAGGATGCGCTACCCAATGGCTGTTTTTCTCTGCTAATGTCTAGTGATTACTGTTGATAGTTTTAGCCTGTGTGGGTTGTTTCTTTGGTGCAAAAATTCCCAAATGGCTTTTGAAGTGTATTTATGGATACTGAATGATATCCTGCTGAATGTCTATGTGAGTTTATTCAACCAAAATTTTGGTTTTTTTACAGGCTTCCTTGCTTTCATTGCTACCATGTGGAATATTGAAGGCATTGGAGGTTCCGAAATTGACCATCAATAGGCTGGTTCCTCTTGTTAATTGGGTATTAAATATAATTATGTTTGAATAAACTGCATCTCATCTGCAGTCCTGCCCCACACGAATCTATAAAGCCCATGACGATATCATTTATTTCTTTTTTTATTTTTAGTTCCGCACCAATTTCTGTGTCAAAAGCGCAAGTCCCAGGGAGGGAGACTTGAAAACAAACCTTTTGCTTGCTCTTGGAACTCGCGAAGGGACTGCTGAAGAGGTACTCGTCTGTCTTTTTATGCCAATGCCCTTTAAAATAAGTATATTATCTCCAAATGTGATCATGCTATTATTACTTTATGAACTTTGCTGCGTATTATTTTTTTATTTTTCTTATGTGCTGTAGAATGTGCTCATGACACATTCTGTTCTGATATTTATTTTAAAAATGTCTATATGCAGGTTGTTCTTTAAAAACATGCTGGTTTGTTATAATGCTTTTTTATGGGAAACTATAACGCGTTAGGCTTGCGTTTTGCAGGTTGCTGCTTTGTCTGTGGCGTTATTCAGAGCTCTGAACTTATCAGCTCGGTATGAAAGTTAATTGATATACAGCTTTTCTTAGTTAATTGGAACTTTAACACTGGTAGCACTGGTTGGCATGTAATATTTGACAGCCGTTTACAGAATGCTAGAGGTGTTGTACATAAATGCATTGACTTTGTTGATTACACGCCTTCTGGATCTGGATCAGTCTGGGGAATCTTTCGTCTGAGAATATTATCCTGAGAAAATTTTGTTTCCATTCAACTTGTGGATATCTCTGTAATCTGGTGCATGCTCAATTGTACCAAACTTTGATTCATAAGAGCCCATGTCAATAATGTTGTCACTAGAGGCATATAAAGCTTAGCTTTCCGAAAGTGGATGGTGCCACTGTTTTTCCATTAACTTATGTAGTAGAAGTGGTGATGTAATTTATACCATCTATTTGTCCTGTCCTTGTGCCTGAATCACATACCCTAATGCCGATTTACTGATCTTTGAACGCTCTCCCTTTCAAGATCTGTCTGTTCTGCTACATAGGGATTAATAAACCTTACTACCTCCCTAAAATAATCAGTGAAGGGAGTGTAACAAGGCGGGTGTTTTGTGAGTGGTTTGCTGGGAGGTATGGTGAGTGGGTCGCTGGAAAGCAAGGATGCACATGTATTCCTCATTATCTGCTGTATTTGGGTTGATGAAGAATCCTGAAGTTGAACTCTTCTTTAATTTACCTAAATGTAGACAAAGGGGCTTCTACATGGAAGCCTTGTTTTGGGGACTAGGAGGATGGATATAGAGGGAAACATTGGCGGGGACGAGAAGGATACAGAGGTAGTCGTGTTGCTTGGCGTCCCATTGGTCATATCCCTTTTCAAGTATTATTTATTCTGGAAAATCTTTTGTGGTGTGCGACTCTGGGGTCATATAAGGATCACTCCCTTTTCTCAACTCCTAGTGTTTCCTTTTTGCAAGATGCTCTAATGTTTGAGAAACTTGGAATTGGAATCTGATTCCAGAATGGACTGGTCTGTTTTTCTTTTATCATTTCAAGGGAACAAATCGGGTACATTGCCAGCGTTGATCTGAATCAACTGGTGTGTATGGGTTTGACAATTTTTCAGATATTTCTTGGGTAATTGGAGCTCTACTATGTAGACAACTTGGAGATATGCCAGTTTAGTGGTTACGCATGGAACTTGTGGTTTCTGATTTCTCTGGATGGAACAGATTTAACCAATCGCTTCTAGGACTTGTAGCTTTTTATTTTATTTTTTAAATTAGGAAGCATATGGTTTTAAAAACAAAATTTTCCCGTTTATTGTAATAATTTTTCTGAAACTTGTCAAGAACCGGAGTCTGTGCTGTGTGCACTGCTAATATTTATTAAATATAAGAATGGTAGCTAGTGGTTTGGGTGGACCCATATTATCCAAAGAAGTTATTCCGTATGGTACAGATAATCATGAGTTTGATTGAGGTATGAAATGCGAAGAATTAAAGTTATGTGGAGGAAACAATCACTGTTTACACAATATGAAAGTTTTCAAACATTGGTATTCTGCAGACAAAGCCCGAACTTTCACACAATATTTCTATTTATGATGGCAGTGAGTCTGGACACATGGACAGCGGAGAATCTTTAATTGTTTCCATAAATACACTCCCATGATTTATTTTATTTGTTGTTAGTTCTTGACGACCAATTGGTGACCAGGAAATGCTGCTTTATTGAGCCCAAACTTGTCTGCATCTATTGCTTCAGAGTTATATTTCACAGTTTAATATAATTCATTAATTTTGGTTGATCCTCCATTCAATGTGGAAAATGACCAGTTTGGAGTTTTGGCCCTCGTAAACGCCTTCAAAGACTAGTTATATTTTCAGTTTTGCTCTCTACTAGTGTTTTTATAAGTTGTATCTCCTGTACTTTGTCTTATATCTTGTGCATAGAAACTTCTGCTATTTGATGAACCTCATGTAATTATTAAATCTTTGATGAACTATTAACTCATTCTGAACTTCGTGGCTTATTGGACCATTCTTTTCCATCAGACTTGCTAATTTTTGGCACATCAAAAACATTGAACTGTATGATTAATTGTTTAAGGTTTGTGTCAATCTTGGATGTGGCCTCACTCAAGCCAGATGCTGATGTTTCCGGGTGCTCAAACCAAGATTTACCCCAGTTGGACACAAAGATATCATCTTCCTCTTCATCAAAGATTAAAGTGAACTCCAACAATGATTCTGCTTCATGTCCAGGTTTGGCTTCATCAAGAAAATTAGGCTACAAGATAATTGGTCCAGAATCTGCCCAAAGAGGTCAGAATAAAGTTAAATGTTCCAACTTAGGCTGCAACGATGCGCAACTAGATAGTCTACCTCTGATCACTGGGTCTAACAGTGAAATTATTGATACGTCAAATGACAATGCATGTGATGATCACCTGGATGCATGTAGAATTAACCATCAAAAGAAGCTGAAAAGGAAAGGGGATGTGGAGTTTGAGTTGCAGTTAGAAATGGCCCTTTCAGCAACAGCAGTGGGGCCTTCTGAGTGTAATTTGAGCTCAGATATGAATGATATCTGTGGTTCATCAGATGGAACTTCGTCATTCAAAAAGTTAAAGAAAACTGAAAGGGGAGAATTTCTTGATTCATCTCAAGTAATCACTGGAGCAGTCTGGTCTAGGAAAAAGGGTCCTCCTTTGTATTGGGCAGAAGTTTATTGTGGAGGGGAGACCTCTAGTGGGAAGTGGGTTCATGTTGATGCTGCCAATGGGATTGTTGACAAGGAGCAGCAAGTGGAGTCCGCATCTGCAGCTTCTAGAAGGCCGTTAAAGTATGCTGTTGCTTTTGCTGGTTTTGGTGCTAAAGACGTGACTCGCAGGTTTTGCCTTAACTCGTTTTATTGCTTCTTATCTTTTTAATTTCGAAGGTTTATTGTTCTGTTTTTTCACCAACTTTGAGTTGGTTAAATGGAAATTATTTATATGCTCAGCCTTTTTGATTAAATGGAAATGGTTTATATGCTTCCTGGATCAGCCTTTTCAACCTTGGTGGTTCTGAAGTTGAAGTTGGATTTTCAAGTAGACTGTTTACAGTGCTCATCCTTATTTATTTAGTTTTTTCATCTAGTTTTCGAACATTTTCCAACCAAAGTTATTCTTTCTATCAGGAAGGCTGTATTATATGAGATTTGTAAACTTTCTTCCCTCAACCTTGGTATTTCAGGTCGTTTGATATGTTCACATCTGTACTATCTCGAAGTAATCTTAGTACCGTCTTTTATGCATCTCTAGAGGAAAATTTTCAGGGCTTTATTTTTGGGATTCTGTGATATTTATTCCAGTGTTTGGCGTGCAAAAAATAGAAAGTTGTTTATTCAGGAATGAGCGTAGGAAAGAGCTGTTTCAAGATAGTTAGACCTGTTGTTTACAGCTTTACGTTATTTGTCTCTGACATGGTGATTGATAATGCAAAATATAGATACTGCACGCATTGGTATAAGATCGCATCCCAGCGAATAAATGCAAGCTGGTGGGATGGGGTGTTGGCACCCTTGAAGCAGTTAGAGTCAGCTGCAACAGGAGGTATCGCCCATTCTGAAACATTTCAAGATGATAATCCAGCTGAAAAAAATGAAATATGCTGAACAATCTGGTCCTGGTATTTTTCAGATGAATCGTCACAGATACGTGCTGAAAATCTAGATTTAGCCAGTGGCCTTCAGAGAGAAATGACAGAAGAGGGTGGTTCAGAATTATGTTCAAATTTGTCCTTCGGGAGTTTTGGGCTTGCAACTAGAGAATCTCTTGAAGACATGGAGCTAGCAATCAAAGGATTAACAGAGCCTCTTCCAGTAAATCAGCAGGTATATATGTTAGCATCTATATAATCTGCATATAGGGGCGTCATATTGTTGGTTTCAATCATATTCAATTAAAGATCTGTTTCTACTCGTCTTCAATTAGGCTTATAGAAAGCATCACCTGTATGCTATTGAAAGATTTCTCTCAAAGTACCAAGTCCTTTACCCAAAGGGGCCTGTACTTGGTTATTGTTCGGGTCATCCTGTATATCCTCGGGCCTGCGTCCAGACACTACAGACAAAACAGAAATGGCTACGGGAGGGCCTGCAAGTGAAAGCAAATGAAGTTCCTGCAAAGGTCGTGCGTACGCCCATTCTATGAAGGCTTTTTATATGAAAAACTACTCCTGTCATTTTTCCTAGTAAAGTACTTATTCCTTTTTTTAGCAGGTTGTAAAAAGCTCGCAAAAGCTTGGCAGAAGGCAACATTCTGAAGAAAGTGCATTTGTAAAAGATGATGAGAACCCAATGATTGAACTTTATGGAAAGTGGCAAGTGGAAACCCTGCATCTTCCTCCTGCGGTAGATGGCATTGTTCCAAAGGTATCATGATACTATGTATTCTAGTCACATGCTAATTTACCTTAGAATGGGTTTTCGAGTTGAGTGTAGGCAAGGAATGTTTTGAAGTATCTGCGGAAGCTTTTATTTCCTCTTCTATTTCATTGTTAAAAACTACATCTCTCCTTTGGTATGGAAGAGTTTGTACAATCTTGCGGAGAGTGCAAGCTTCCATGTATGAATAGGTACATCACCGTATAATTATTGATATATTAAGTGAACTTTTATTTCCGTTTTTTCCCTCCATGCTGAGATATGGGACCATAGTCTCATGTGATAGGTCATGCGCTTTAAGTTGGACATGATATCATGAGTCTTTCTCGTCTCTCAAATTCGGTGTTTTCGTCAGCGCAAGTCTATATGGATGTTGTTGGTTGACCTCTTTTTCCATTCTTGAATGGTTGACTATATTGCTGTAATTATTTAGGTTATGGTCTGGACAATCGTCGAATAACCGAAGTCTGAAACTCTGAATGGTTCTCCCCAATTATATACTGAGAAACCTCAGCGCTGAGCATTGAGCACTTTTGTGTGATATTCAACTGCATTCCTCCCATCCCATCCACTAGTACCGTACATAGGATCCTTGGTCACAATCTCTATGCTAGGACTTGACTACTTTCCTAGGAATCCGTAGATATTTTTCCTTCATTTTTTATGTTTTCTAACATGTTTTTCATTCTAGAATGAGCGTGGTCAGGTGGAAGTGTGGTCTGAGAGGTGTCTACCGCCTGGTACCATACACCTGAGGTTACCAAGATTGGTTCCAGTTGTCAAGAGGTTAGATGTTGATTTTGCTCCTGCAATGGTTGGTTTCGAGTTCAGAAATGGCCGTTCTTTCCCTGTCTATGATGGGATTGTGGTCTGCTGTGAGTTTAAAGATGCTATCCTGGAGGTACGATTCTTTCTTTGGGGCCACATGTTCGTCTACCAGATCATATTGCTGTAATTTATTGACCGCTGACGATACCGAATTTTGGATAGTTTTGTTCTTCAAAATTTATGAAACCCATGTTAACTACCTTGCATTTTCTTTGTTTTTTAAAAATAAAGTTCAGTTACAGCATGAGAAATTTATTTTTCCGCAAAAGAAATTATGGGTACTGTACTGAGAAAAAAGTCATATCTTATTATGGTTGTCGACCATGAGGAAGTAAGTACCCCTCCAGGCTAAGGTGATTTATGAGATGATGCTACGGAACTTAATTCACTGCGATTTCTTAGAATAAACATTTCCAAGAATTGGAATTTGGGTAAAAAATAGATCTGCAGGAAATGAGGAGCTCCACATCATGCCTGAAAGATAAACTTTTTATAAACAGCGGTTGTAGAATTTTGGTCTCTTGTGAGGTTGGGAGAAGCTAGATGAACGTATAGTATTTACCAGGGCAAGCCGTTCTTTTCCGATCGGCCATTTGTTGGAGCAAGTTGAAATGTGGCCCCCTTGTATTTTCTTTTCTGATTTCTCATTTCTGCTCGAGGACAAGAGAAGCAAATTACTGTCCAACAGTATAAATGTGTTGGTTGCTCAGTGAATGATGTCAAGAGGGGGGGGTGGGAATGGACCTCAGGTTGTGGATGCATCCTTCCAAGCTTGATTTTTGAGTAAAGTGTCCATTTATGGCTCATTTCCACCCATCAATTCGGACTGGTATCCTGGAAAACATGGATCCGTTGTTGAATGCATATGCCGATGATTTAGAAGCTTATGATTGTGAAGCTAGGATCAATAAGTTGAATCCCAAGCACCAATTGTGCAGAAACGAGGGAAATCCTCTCTTAGATTTTGATAAGCTCCTCTAATGTTCCATCGAGTTCAAAATCTTCTATTCCTGATCATTCTTTTTCGTTTCTCCTCCAGGCATACGCCGAAGAGGAGGAGAGAAGGGAGGCCGAGGAGAAGAAACGGAGAGAAGCTCAAGCTCTGTCAAGATGGTACCAGCTTCTTTGCTCGCTTATCACCAGGCAACGTCTCAAGAGCACCTACTTGGATCTTGCCCCCGACAATCTGGCCGAGGAACAAGTGAACCAGCCAAACTCAGGACATAACCCTAGTCATGGCCGACGGCAGCGAGTTTCTCTGAAGGCAGCCGGGCGAGATCCTCTTCCTGGGGGAGACCATGAGCACAGCTTCCCCATTGAAGACCAGAGTTTTGACAAAGAGAGCTCCATCCGCACGAAGCGCTGTTCCTGTGGATTCTCCATCCAAATGGAGGAGCTCTGATCTGGCGTTGTAAACTAGTCGTCTTACCCTTCACATGTAGATGGATGTAGATATTTTCTGCGGCCCTCTTCGAATGATTCCGTCTTCAATGTAGTTTTGATGGAGCAAGTTGCAATGTGCACATTTTGGCTTTCATGTTATGGTGCTAATTTCTGAAAATAGTATGTGAGAGAGGGTTCTGGGTTCTCGGGTTTGACCCTGTCGGAGATCAGAATCGGCCTAGATGAGAAAATCCACTCTCGGGTCGGGCGTATTCCTCTCTATGTTCGATTTAGTGACCCAAGCTCAGAAAATTGTGCCGGGCTGGGCTCCAGGATGGGTAGATCCATTGACTTGCCTAATTTTAGTAGCGATTTCTGTTTACCATGGTTCCTGCAATTTATTAGAGTTTTCCCCGTTTGCCACGTGATTGGGATTTTGATATTTATGCACATATATCGACATAGATACAGAGAGATAGGTTGATAGATAGTGAGGGATATATTAATGGATAGATTATAGATGGATAGTGAGAGAGATAGATTACTGGATAGATGATAGATAGATAGGTAGATAGATGGATAGAGTGAGAGATCGATATACAGATAGATAGATAGTGAGAGGGATATATTAATGGATAGATGATAGATGGATAGTGAGAGGGATAGATTACTGGATAGATGATAGATAGATAGGCAGATAGATGGATAGATGATATATAGATAGATAGATTGGTAGATAGATGGATAGAGTGAGAGATCGATCGATCGATCGACCGATAGATGAAAGATAGATGAAAGATAGAGAGAAGAGACGTTGATATTCAGAGTCAGAGATGTTTTTTTTCCAGATGAAGCATCGAATGTGCGTGCTGATGCTGAAGATATAGACTTAAGTGGACATATCTGACATAACGCACTGCTTAAGATTTTTGTCTTGGGAGCATTGTAATGACATAAGGCAATGCCTGCGCCGTCAGCGTCCTCCCGCCTCAACCAGTCATTGATTCCCTTTAACGGGCGGACATGGATTGACGGAGCCTCCTACAGAACTTCAATTCAAGCAGCTACATCATTCCTCCGCCGAATCTTCAAGCTACCAATCTGTCCGTCCATTGATGCATAAACGATGATCTCAGGGCTTGGGCTCATCTGGAATGCAGGAGTTTCCGCTTGGGTTGGTAGGCAATCGTTTTTAGAAACCATGCCAATAGTTATCGAGATACAGACGCTCGTCACAACCGTTGAAGACAAGGCGTCGCCGCACTATCTACCCGCCGCCGCTGGTGCCCGCCGCCCCCAGACAGGTACTCCATTTATTATTCCGGTGGAGTTGTTGAGTGCTCAGCTTCTAAGATCTCTCGTTTCTCTCGGGGCCTGGCTGCGACGAACCCCCCCAGACAGCGAAAGCCCGCCAATCAGAAGGTCCCCGTCAAATTTCCCAAGCCTGCACCTCTCTTCTCCTTATACTTGTACAAGCTTCCAACCTCTCTCTCTCTATCTATCTATCTATCTCTCCCCACCCTGAAGAAGCTCGAGCGGTCGGACTCGTTCAAACTGGCCGCCACCAGCTACCACCCTGTTAGCTTTTCCTTGTCATGTACGCCTCTTCGAGTCGTATATCAGTCTCTCTTTGCATAGTGACGACTCCTTGTCTTTCCTCGGGGTACGTAGCGATCAGTCCAGAACAATCAAACTGCTCCCGTGCTTCGGACGCTCATCCCCAGTCTGACCTCCGTTAGTGTACACGTCCGCAATCTTCCGACGGGAGATAGCGGAGGTCAAGCACGGCACCTTTCCTTCCTTTTTTATCTTTTCTGTCTGGATATGCGCCGCCTACGTCTCTATTCTAATCGTTAAATTGACGCACGCTCGTGCGCAAATAAAAATTCCGAATTACTTAGGATTTTGTTTTTGTTCGTTTGCTGGCGATCTTCTGGAACCCTGACGGACGTTTCAAGAGATGCGAGGTACCTTGCTGGGTTTCAACCGAGTAAGACCATGCAGGAAAAGCCTTTACTCGGGGGTGATAAGCCTCGGTCAACTAGTTCGTTAGGTCATAACGCGTCGAGGATGACCCCTCGGGGAGATCCGATTATCACCACTCTACAGCTCTCCACACGTTAGAGTCAACTGTTGGGAGACTACGCGTTAACCTCTGGTGAAGCAAATATTTTGACTCATGGTCTGTTAACCCAGCAGGGTCCCCGTCAATCTGAGATGACATTCGTGAAGTAGATAAGATAAGACGAAAACTGGGGAGAAAAATAAAATAAAAATCTTAAAGTATCTTGGTTTACTATCTGTTTGACTGCCCGTTTTGTGGTCATTCTATGATGCAACCAAAACGTGCATTTGGGGATCGATGATTTTATCTGGTGAAAGATAGGATACGTGAATCTGAACTGATTTTATCATTTAAAAATATTTTTTTAAGATAAAATGAGAGTGGCATGCCAAAATTATCTCATCATTTTATCTGAATTCCAGCCCAGTTTGACTCTGGACGGCTCTACTGGATATATTCTTATTTCTTTGTCAGTGGAAAGAGAAACTATGGAGGGAATTAGTGGGTCAAACTGGCGTAGATTTTTTTTTACAAGATCGAGACCCAAGTGTGAGAAGATTTGAAAACTGGGCTTTAGGTCGGATTCTTGTGAAGCTCTAGTCTAGTTTTGTCTGTTCGGGAAGAGAGAGAGAGAGAGAGAGAGAGAGAGAGAGAGAGAGATATTCAAAGTTCTTGTTCTGAGCCATATCAAGATCTAGACTCGATGTGGATAAGGAACGAGTTGAGCTTATGTTTCAATCTAGTCTCCACTTTGAGCCTCATAACAAGAAAAGGTGGGACCCCAGTTTTTCAAATATCTTTGCAATGATTCCGTCATTTCATGTTTGTCTGTCATTTTAGATGCAAGAGTCCAAATAACTTTTATCCATCCAAAGTAACGTCTTTCACGGGGGAAAGCTTATCCACTTCATATACGATATTATCCACTAGTTCCCACTTCAAACTCCATCCAAGGTCAAGCCAATCAAATGAAGACTTCAATTTCTCATAAACTCGAGGCTTCCGGTTCCGCATTAAAATCCCGCGTAGTCTGACGTCAACGCATGTTAGGTTGTCAGGAGACCTGCCCAACCTGTGTCCGTGACACGGAGTTTGTTCCTATATTCGGTATAGACCATAGTATCGAATATACTTTACTTTATCTTCATGTTGGTCATAGTGAGGAGTTGCTCAGATCTGATTGGATTTCCTAATCAAGTATTAGCACGGACAAGAGGTAGATAAACACACAACATAATCGGCAGAAATATACTATATTTGTTCCATGGTCCAGACGATCTTCGATCATTATTGCAGCAGAGATACTCGCGGAATCCATCTTCCAATTAATGGACATGAGGAGCCGCTTAGCGTGTCGGGATTGCCAAGTCATTAGTTTACTAATCCCATCCTGTCCGATCAGGACACACGGCGTTTAATATCATGCCACCTAATGCAAACGCATGGATTTGAATGCTCACGCAACGTGTTATGTGAGCACCGGCGTCGACGAGCGGCAGGCAGGATGAAGCCTGCCGAGCGGTGTCAACGGGAACTTAGAGAAGAAACCAGTGATGGGTGGTTTGCACGGCGCGGGCTGTCCAATGTTTGGTGCTTTGACAAAGAGAGAGCTGTGAAATGTCTGTCTCGAAGACCCGGCAGCCAGCTATGGCCACTCCGTTCCCTCCCTTCGCGAGGAGACCTACCCTCACAAAATATACCTACTTCAGGAGGGAGGGAGGTGGTCAGGATCATTTAGGAGAGTGGAAGAATGCCAGGTAGTTGGCGACCGCTGGTCCGTTTGGACCCTCCCCAAAGGAGACCTATCCTCTCCAAAATCCACCGAATTGGGAGGGTTTAATAAACTAAAACTGCAACGGCCGAATGAACTGTTCCCGTCATCTGTGGACTAACCAATCCCCGTAGATGATGATCAACGGGGCGCACGCCAAGAACTCCGGCATCCTTCATGCCCACGCGGAGAGAAGCTTCCTAGGTCATCAGAACTATGGAGAATAAACTACAAGTTGGTGAGGAAAATGACGCTGGGGCCAACCAGAGAGGTCAACAGAAGGGATGAGGGGGCTCTTCACGAGACTGCCCTGCGGTACCCGGGGGCAATCGTCTCATTTACTCCAAAGGCTTGCTCGCTCCCAGATCTCCTTCTACGCCGCCGGAAAGGTCGCACGGGCGTGTCCACACAGCCAAAGTCATTGGCCAGAGATCATACGTTCCAAGTAGCACTCAGCGTCGTGAACATCACAATCAGCGAGAGCTTCTGGTCCTATCGATATCTCTCTGTCTCGTGTGCCCTCAATTCTGCGTAATTGGACTGCTCCATCCAAAGAGATCCTCTCCGCGGAAGGGAGGCATCCAGCTGTCTTAGGTCTGGAAGCGAATCGTTTGACCGTTTCTTCTCTCGTCCATACGGGTTTGACTGCTGAAAACCGAGGGGCTGGTGGACGCCGGAATAGATGACCTAACCCGTGATCCCATCCTCCACACGTCGAATCACTCGACGGGACAGCCCCTTAGCCCCTTGCGCACTGTCCGAAGACCAAGCGCCCCTTAGGTGAAACTCTATGAATCGCTCTCATCAATCTCTCTCTCTCTACTTTCATTGCCTGTTACATCGGTGACCACAATCTCCCATAGTCAAAACCGTTGGACGGTCGAAGCCTTTGGAGTCAGACGGAGGAGATACGGGACACCAATACCTTGCTCGACAGAACGAACGAGTCCCCTGTGGAGCCATATACGACTCATGAATATGTGGCCGCTCGTTTAACAACAGTAGTCGCCTTCCGAGCCGTGGGCTCCACAATAACGACGGACAAAGGCTTTTAGTATATCTCTTATTTTGGTCTCTCGGCCATGATTCGCAGAAAAGAAAAACCAAATCTCTCCCTCCGTCATTCTTCCTGCAACCTTCCCCCATGACATGCATATAAAAGGAAGGCCACGGCTCCCTCTAGACAGCCATCCAGCGGTTCAGCCTACAGCTGAATAAGGCTTGTGTAGGGGAGAGAGCCAGAGAGAGAGAGAGCCAGAGGAAGGGAGGGATAGGGAGCGGGAGGGAGAAAGTTCCCATGGGGAAGCTTGTAGTGTGCTTGTTCTACGTGTCCCTTACAGTCGTCGTAGGCTTTGTGAGTGGACAGCCGATAACCTCATGCAGTCAGACCCCGTATCCAGATGTCTGCAGCTCTGTTCTCAGTTCTGCTTCCCTTGCTGCCGAGGGCAAGACGACGTTCAGCTTTGCCCAGCTTAGCCTGCGCGCGGCCATGCAACGAGCAAAGCTGATTCGTACCCAGGCCTCGGCCGTTGATCTTCAAAAGCTAGATCCGCGGAGCAGGGCAGCCTGGCAGGATTGCCTGGAGCTCTCTGATCAGACAATCAGCCACCTTAACCGGTTGGTGGGTTCAACGACGACGACGCCCTCCGACGACGAGCTGACATGGCTGAGCGCCACCATCGCCGACCACCAGACCTGCCTGAACGGGTTCCAGGACTTTGACCTGGGGTCTCGCTTGGCGTCCTCGCCTTTCGCTTCGAGCAACATCTCGCAGATGCTCAGCAACTCGCTCGCCGTGACCAAGTCGAATGTCATCACTAATCTTGGCGGCGGTAGCCGGCGGCTGCTCTCGCAGGGATTCCCTACTTGGGTCTCCGCTGCCGATCGGAAGCTACTCCAGAGCTCGTCGGTGAAGGCTGACGTTGTGGTGGCGAAGGACGGCTCTGGGAATTACAAGACGATCTCGGAGGCGGTGGCGGCCGCCTCGAAGCGGAGCGGCAGCGGCAGATTCGTCATCCAGGTGAAAGCCGGGGTTTACAGCGAGAACGTACAGATCACGGGGAAGAATATCATGCTCGTCGGCGACGGGATCGATCAAACCGTCGTCACGGGGAACAAGAATGTCCAAGATGGCTCCACGACTTTCCAATCGGCGACCGTTGGTAAGTTATATCTCTTCCTCAAGAATTCCTTGCGTAATATTTATTTAAAATTTATTCATCAAAATAGCACACATAAAAAGAATATTGCTATTGAGAGTTATCCTAACATAACAAAAAGCATAGACTACCGTACCTGGAGCTAGATTATCTGCTAGTCTTAGCAGATAATCTGTAAGTATATTAGGTTACCAAGAACGTCTAAACTCACTGGGTCAACCAATAACCCACAAAGTCTAATACTTTGGATGGGATCTCAGCAGCATCACGGCTGGACAAAGAGGTTTTTAAAGGCTTTAAACGACGAATGATATCGCCATGTGAGTGGATAGATTGTCTGAGAAATAAATATGAAGAAGCTTTCGTAACAGATGTAATAATATATATTATTCATCCTTCCATTACGGGTATTGTGAAGCGTGAGACGGCAAGAAACCCGTGGCATCTTCTTTTTTTTTTCTGCTAGACTAAACCAGTCGAATGTTTGTGTTCATCTTCGGGGCTGACGTCACTTACTTTATCTCTTCCTCCTCTCAGCGGCCGTCGGCGATGGGTTCATCGCGAGGGACATCACCTTCCAGAACACGGCGGGGGCGGCGAAGCACCAGGCGGTGGCTTTCCGCTCCGGCGCGGACCTCTCCGTCTTCTACCGCTGCAGCTTCAAGGGCTATCAGGACACGCTCTACGTGCACTCCCAGCGCCAGTTCTACCGCGACTGCGACATCTACGGCACCGTCGACTTCATCTTCGGCGACGCTGTGACAGTCCTCCAGAACTGCAACATCTTCGTGCGGAAGCCGATGAGCAACCAGAAGAATACCATCACGGCGCAGGGCCGATCGGACCCCAACGAGAACACTGGCATCTCCATCCACAACTCGAGGGTGACGGCGGCATCGGACCTGAAGCCGGTGCAGGGTTCCTTCAAGACCTTCCTCGGCCGGCCATGGAAGCAGTACTCGCGCACCGTGTTCATGAAAAGCACCCTGGACGGGCTCATCGACCCGGCGGGGTGGCTCGAGTGGAGCGGGAGCTTCGCCCTGAAGACGCTCTACTACGGAGAGTACCAGAACACCGGCGCCGGCGCCGGCACCAGCGGCCGCGTGAAGTGGGGCGGGTACCGCGTGATCACCAGCGCGACGGAGGCCGGGAAGTTCACCGTGGGAAGCTTCTTGGGGGGCAGCTCATGGATTCCGGCCACCGGGGTCCCTTTTACCTCCGGGCTTTAATGAGATATGACGGGGAGAAAAGTCGAGGAAGTAAGAAACCCTAAGTTTCGTGTATAATGTTCTGTGCATAGGTTAATAAGTTTTGTGTATATTACACGTGACGTTTTCATGATGTATGCCAAGGTTTTCAATATCAAATCGGCGTTCGTCATCTTCAATTAAGGAGAGACAACGCAATAAAGAATGATAGGATGTAACATAATACAGTGCAAAGTCCACTGGTTGGTAAACTGTCAATTCATTCAGAGTATCATCCCATCGCAAGCAACCTTATGGTTCCGTCCGTCGTCGATACGCTTGAACTAGATGAGGCCGGGAGCTAATTCCAAGGTAAATTATTTGAGGATAATATGAGGTTGATTTCCTCCCTCTCAAACCACAGTACCCTTCATCTTACTTTATGATTGCTTACACATAGATAGTGAGAGAGACAGATAGCTAACTGAATTGGGGGATGCTCACACTTGCGACGAGAAAAACCAATATTTTTGTAGCTATTTTCTTAGGGTTGAGCCGAGCAGATGGGTCGAGATTTCCTGTGATGCTCTCCAGAAGATTGGCCATATTGAAGAACACTTGCAGCCTGTGATAGCCGAAGACCGGTGATATACGTAAGCTATTCAAACACCCAGGGTCCGCATGAATGCCGAGCGTGAGATCGAATACTGAATGAACCCTACATAGAACCGCCAATTCGACGATTCTCGGTTGATCGATTAGTGCTTCTGAATTCGGCCAAGAGGGCTTTCAATGAAACCAACCCCGACTGCGAAAGATGCCGGCCAGGTCCGGCCGAAGCTTTCATCTTAATAATGAGAGGCCTTTTAGGTAGAAAAAAACAATCTTTCTTCCAGCCAGACTTGAATCAGATGATAGTGGAAGGGCTTATCTTGATGAACCCATCTGCATCTGCGCCGAGTTAGGATCCGGCCTAAGAAAGCGTGATTGGGGTCGCCTACTCTCGACTCAAGAGGCCCAGTATTTTTCAGACTTGTTTATCGCCTCAAAGACGAGCTGATATGACGTCTACCGAAGATAAAGAAGCCTCTGTACACTTACCCAGCGCCCGCCGGCCGCCGGCAGTAAACTCATGCACGGCAGGAAAACTTGCTCTCATGCCGAACCCTCCCACTCCCTCCCCTTTTCTCCTTTATGAAGGAATGGCCGGCAATGATCACCCACGTCGACGTGTAGATCCCCACACGTGCCCCTTTCATCCACGAGGGGAGAGAGAGAGAGAGAGAGAGAAAGAGAGAGAGAGTGGGAGAATAATCCGGCACATCAACGTAGGGTCTCCGCACATTCTCCGTCATGCATGATGAGAGAGAGTCACAGAGAAAGGAGGGGAGAGAGAGAGAGAGAGTGCGAATCGAGAATAAACGGCCACATCGACGCTGAGATCCTTACACATTCTTCTTTATGCATGGGAGAGCGAGAGAGAGAAGCAAGAGAGAGAGAATGATTAATCCACCGCATCGACGTGGAGCTCCCCAACAATTTTCTTTTATGCGTGTAAGGGATTGGCTGGCTGTGGGAGGAGGGCAGAAAGGAGGTGGTCCATTTCCCTCTTCCTCTTAGAATATCAACTTTCGGTTAGTAATGGGCCTTTTTGCGATTTCAGCCCATTTTGAGGAAAAAAGCTAGAGGTATCAGTAGAAAGTCAACGTTATCCCATTCTAGAGAGAGAACAGCCCCGGAGCGCAAACCGTAATCCACGCAAGCATTCTCTTTCCTGCCCTGGTATAACATAGGCACGTGTATAAGATGGGTCCATTTGTATAAATGATAGAGACAACGTGTCGTTACTGCCCGTCCTCATCCGCAAAACAAAACCAGTTAGGAAGGCGAGGGGACCGGGAGGGAGGGAGAGAGAGAGAGAGAGGAAAACCAGGACCTTCGCCGGAGACGGCCGGCAAACAGCAAAACCCCCACCCACAAGTAGAAGCATAGATCGAGGGTCAACTCCTGTCCAATCGCCAGCTGCATCTGTCCTGGTCTCCAGAATCGTCAGAAAACGCGTCATTTCTTCGACCGCCGTCTGAATGTCTGCTCTCCGTCGCCGCGCCTCACGAGTGGAATCCACCGAACCCACGATTCTCCTGTTTCCTGGTTTTAGACTCACTGGAAGAACAGTGAACTATGTCATGGAAGAGAGATTGCCCACGCTACGCAATCTCCATGACTTTCTTTAGCCCCGACTCCATAAATAGCGCCGAGAGGTCTCTCTCCTTTCCCACTACGCAGCCGAAGTCCATAGACTCTCTCCCTTTCTCTCTCTCTCTCTCTCGCTCGCTCTAGCAGTCGTCTTCGAAGTTGTTGATTAGAGCCAAGGAAATGGCCAAGCTCTTGGAACTTGGCTGTTTGCTGAGCCTGTGTCTCGTCGGGATCCTGGGGCTGGCGGACGCAGTCCCTGTTACTTCATGCAAGCAGATGCCGTACCCAGAGGCTTGCTACTCCATTGCACAAGCCAGTCCCCACTTCGGCGACGAGAAGGCATTATTAGGGTTCAACCTGTTTAATCTCCGGGGCGCAATGGCGCGAGTCCAGCTGACAGTGAAGCTGGCGTCTGCTGTGAAACAGTTCTTGTTCGACGGGCCTACCAGGGCGGCCTGGGCTGACTGCATGGAGCTCGCTGAGGATACCATCCACAACCTCAACAGGTCCTTAAGGTCCTCCTCAGCGCCGCTGTCCGGTGATGACGTGCTCACGTGGCTGAGCGCCACCATTGCCGACCATCAGACCTGCCTGAACGGGTTCACCGAGCTCAACCTGTCGCCCGTGGCGAAGGCGGCGATGCCATTCATCTCGACGAACGTCTCTCAGTTTCTCAGCAACTCGCTCGCCGTGACGAGGGCCAACGCCGCGACTATGCTCGGCGGCGGTGGCGGCGGCCGGCGGCTGCTCTCGAGGGGGTTCCCGTCGTGGGTCTCCGCCGGCGACCGGAAGCTGCTCCAGAGCTCGTCGGTGAAAGCCGACCTCGTGGTGGCGAAGGACGGGTCAGGGAACTACAAGACTATCTCGGAGGCGGTCGCCGCTGCCGCGAAGCTGAGGAGCAGCACCAAGAGGTTCGTCATCCGCGTGAAGGCCGGGGTCTACAAGGAGAACGTCGACATTCCCAAGTCGATGAAGAATCTGATGATCGTCGGCGACGGCATCGACTCCACTGTCGTCACCGGCAGCCGCAACGTTCAAGACGGCTCCACCACATTCCGCTCCGCCACATTCGGTAATCTTTCTACTCCACCTTACTTTCGAATTACCCACATACTTGTTCATTTCTATAAAAAGAAAGTATTTCTGATCTTCCCCGGCACTGCACCTCAGCCGTCGTCGGAGACGGGTTCATCGCGAAGGACATCACCTTCGAGAACACGGCGGGGGCGGCGAAGCACCAGGCGGTAGCGCTCCGCTCCGGCGCGGACCTCTCCGTCTTCTACCGCTGCAGCTTCAAGGGCTACCAGGACACGCTCTACGTGCACTCCCAGCGCCAGTTCTACCGCGACTGCGACATCTACGGCACCGTCGACTTCATTTTCGGCGACGCCGTGGCCGTCCTCCAGAACTGCAACATCTACGTGCGGAAGCCGATGAGCAACCAGAAGAATACCATCACGGCGCAGGGCCGATCGGACCCCAACGAGAACACCGGCATCTCCGTCCACAATTCGAAGGTGACGGCGGCGTCTGACCTGAAGCCGGTGCAGAGTTCCTTCAAGACCTTCCTAGGCCGGCCATGGAGGGAGTACTCGCGCACCGTGTTCATGCAGTGCACCCTGGACGGGCTCATCGCTCCGGCGGGGTGGCTCGAGTGGAGCGGGAGCTTCGCCCTGAAGACGCTCTACTACGGAGAGTACAAAAACACCGGCGCCGGCGCCGGCACAGGCGGCCGCGTGAAGTGGGGCGGGTACCGCGTGATCACCAGCGCGGCGGAGGCCGGGAAGTTCACCGTGGGGAGCTTCCTGGGGGGTAACTCGTGGATTCCGGCCACCGGGGTCCCTTTCACGCCGGGGCTCTGAGAGCTCTGCTAGGACCCATCTATACTCGACGGTAGCAAGTAGGCTCTATTTATTTCATATATATTTATATATATTTAATCGATAGAAGAAGATTGTATCATGCACAGTTTTGATTGTTTTGTCAACTCCTTGTAACAGTGGGCACCCTGAGAAAAGTCAAATATTGTACTGATTTTCCACATAAAATATGCTAAATTGGGTCGGCTTCCCGACATCTTGGAACGCCTGAGATCCCCACCGATTGTGAGATAAGTTTATTGACTGCATGAGAACGAAGAACACGGAATGTCGGGAAAATTTCCTCTTTCCTTCCGGCGAGGTTGCACCGCCGTTAACTGAATGGCGTCTGCGATAGAAGAAAAAACATGGGCGTCGCAAGGATAGAGGAGGGTTGACCGTGGGCCTGCTCCTATGTGATGACCGTCGGAGCCGAGCGCCCGGTGAATTCCTCCATCTTTGACAGCTTCAACGCGACGTCCACCTGCGGGCATCGGAAGGAAGTGAGAGGGTGATGGAAAAAGCCAAGAAGGAGATAAAGATAGATAGCGAGAGAGAAAGAGAGAGATAAAGATAGATAGATAGATAGATAGAGAGAGAGAGAGAGAGAGAGAGAGAGAGAGAGAGAGGAGAGAGAGTTCTTACGAGGGGAGCGAGTGCGTCTTGTGAGTCCCTTCCGGTCTTGGAGGGGTCCTTCTCGTACTGCTCGATGTAGAGCCGAATGGTCGCGCCCTCCGAGCCGGTACCAGACAGGCGGAAGACCTGCGGCCCGAAAGTGGGTCCCATTAGCTGGGGTTCCGCCAGGTTGACTTTACGCGATAAAGTACCCCTCACAGGGTTCTTACCAATCTGGATCCATCGCCGAACAAATAGCGAATCCCCTGGTGCTTGGAGACAGAGCCGTCGACGGGGTCCTTGTATTCGAACTCGTCAGCCTCGACGACCTCCGCTACGTCTGACCTGATCCCCTTTATAATCCTGCGGCACACCGAACCGTCAGAGCCTTCTCTCTCTCTCCATACCCAGATGAAGAGAGCTAAAAGAGGGGGATAGGATACATACTCGTTGACGGCTGAGAGGGAGGACTGCAGTTTGACCAAGGCCGCCATCAGCTCCTTTGCAGCGCTGGCGTCAACGTTCTTCGCGACGGAAGAGACGAGAGGTCAACGGAAGACGACCGGAAGCTGCGAAGATATGAAAGAAAGAGTGAGGGTTATGGTCTCTCTTACCTCGTAGTCGTATCGGGTGTAGTAATGGCGGCCGTAGGTGGCCCAGTGCTCCTCAACTATGTCCTGCACCGTGACGAGCTTGTCGCCGTCAACGTTGTCCTTGTTCCTGTAGGCGAGGATGGAGAGCCAAGCCAAGACCGCCCAAATTCCGTCCTTCTCCCTGATATGGTCGGAACCTGCAGGCACACGGGGTTGACTACGATGAACTCCGTTCTGGGAGCAATGCCAGAGAACGAGGATCTGGACATGGGCAGATCAAGAGGGCAAATACTACCAAAAATAGTGATCCAATAACAAGTTTCCAAGAAGGTGGGGGGGTGGAAGATGACATCTCCACCCCCCCACCTTCATGATCCCGATGCCCCAGAATGTGGAAGATGACATCTCACAGTGTCATTAGTAGCCTTTTAAGTGGTCCTCAACTCTCTCTCTCTCTCTCCTGTGTTTAGGGGGAGCTGAGAACAGAATCGAACCTTGAAGGGAAAGGAAGGACGCCATAAATCTACGATGGAGATTGAAAAAAAATAAAAATTGAACTCGGTTGAAAGAAACCATTCCCTTCTATGATTCTTCATTCTTTAAAAAAACCTACGAAAAGAGCTAAAAATAGAAGATCCCCCCCCATGAGCTGCTACCTTTTGGTTTCCCTTGTGTCATCCTGTTGAGGCTTCTATGGTTGTATCTTCTGGGCAGTTTTAGTTCTTAGCTGTTTTGTTTAGTAGCTAATAATATTCAGAAAGATCAACAAGTTTGAATGTGAATCAGCAATATGATCGTTGTCATTCTCTGAACGAGGATTCCTGATTTACTGGGTATGCAAATACCCCTTTGATTAGACAGTCGGCAATCTGTTCCCAATACTAAAACTGTGTTCATCTGAGGGAGATACGGGGAGGGCTGAAGTCTAAGTTTGGGATGTATGATCTTGGTCATCTCATTGATCTCACCTGCCATTCGTTTGTCAACCACATCGTTTCTCCCCTTGTGCTGTGAAAAACATAGCATATATTATTTGCAAATTGGCTCAAGCCGTTGCCTTTCTTCATCAATGATTTAGGGCATTATGATGCCATTGCACCTTCTCCTTGGTGTCTTTTGTCAACTCTCCTTTCAAACGAAATAATGCATGGAATTTGATAAATTGGTGCCAGATGACAATCTACAAAGCAGCTCTTCCACATGGCAGCAAAATATATAGGCATATCTGAAATTTTTGGTATAGTTAATGCGAAACTTGGTCAAAATCATTCTCACCCATAGTTTTGGCAAGGTACGATGTCCATGCTACAGAGTCTAATAGACATTAGTTTGAGACTCCAGAAGTCAGCTCTTGAGAGAGCCTCTTCCTTAAGAGCAATGCCATTAATGAGGTTGCCTCCGTCGTGCATGAGAAACATTGTCGCAAAGGTAAATCTAAGTTTGAAAATCTAGCTCTAATACCACTTGACATAGAAGAAGCCACGAAGAGAACCGAACCTTGAATTCACGAGGAACAAAATCAAAATATGCGTTGAATCCACAAGAGAGAATGAAACAAAATAATTTATAGTTTTCCTTCTTCAAACTGGGCAAAAATTAATTCTAGATATATAAAAAATAAGAATTTCAGAACAAAAACGGCAAAAAGGAAAGATCTCCAGGAAAATAGGAAAATAATAGCAAGAGCTGGGAATGCACTACCACTTCTAAGCCCCGCATTTTTACCCTTTTCAACCTTCTAAGCTGTAACTTTCGAACATTCTACATCATCACCTCTCTACTTTTTAGTTGAGTAAGCAATTTCACACTTATCCTATAATTTATTTTTTCTCATGACAGCACACAATATTGCCACGTACTTTCGTTTTGTTTTATGCAATGTAGTGTATTGAGAAGAGTAATCATCGGGTTTGTCCATGGTAGAGCCTTAACCTATGAGACAACCTCAGCCTATGAAACAACCAGCCTATTGCTTCCACGGGCTAAGTCCAGGTTTTATTGGAATCCAGCCTGTAACCTAGCCATGCAACAACCAAGAGGTCCCACCCCAAAGTGACAGAGCAATGAGACCAACCTTGTGGCAGCGCATGATAACTCCAGCATTATTATCATTATTGTTTCTCACTGATTTGAGGCAGGTTTGGACATAACAAAAATTGAGAAGAAAACTAATACAAATTAATTTTTAGAAATATTACCAGTCCCAAAGCTTTCTTCACCACATACGGAACAAACACCAGCATCCATCAAGTTCCCGAAAAATTTCCAGCCGGTGGGTACCTGAAGTCAACAGAAATTCTCATCGTAGCTAGGGCACCTACGACTGAAATAATGAAACCACATCAACAGCTTCCAAATGAAATACCTCAAAGAACTTCAGGTTTAAGTTCTTAGCGACAACATCAAGGGCTGCTGATGTGGGCATGCTCCTGCAAACAACGTTGTAGCTTGAAAACCCACAAAGAACTTGGCACCAATAAACCCAGATATTTTATTTTTAGGTGACAATGGACTTGTCGGCGTAGAAAGATAGAACAGAAATATCTGAAACGTGGGAAAGTTTGATCACGCTAAAGGAAAGGGGAGAATGAGATCGTTTTGCACCTGGCAACTCCCTTCAAACCAGAGTTGAAATAAGGAATAGCTTTAACCGCGTTTGCAGCAATGATGGCAACAGAATCAGAGGGAGTGACAAAAAATCTAACATCAAAACGAAGAACATATAAGTTGAAGGTAATATTTCCTTAAAGCAATGTTTATGTTATCTGCGTTTTTTTTTTAAATACCTTTTACCAAGGATCATGTTACGATCAGCATCACCATCCGCAGCAGCACCAAATTCTGGTGGTTCACCCTCTGGGGAGGACTTGCCTAGTCCCAAACGTGCAACCAATTCCTTGGCATAGGTGAGGTTGGGATCAGGATGCCCACCACCGAAGTCCTCCTGTTTTAACCAGATGAGCACACATAAGTATGCATGAAGCAGAAGGTGACTGTAGCATGAAATATTTCTTTTTCACCTTAGGTGTACAATTTATCAAAGAACTACCACTAGCCCCAAGCTCTTCCAAGAAAATGCGCTTGGCATATATTCCAGCAACCCCGTGAAGTGCATCATAACTGAAAGGGATTCAAAAAATGAAGTTATGAGTGAGAGCAAAGATATAACGATTTTTAACTGGTTTAAAATTTCTTGACTCACCAGAATGAAAATTTCGGAGATGCGAGAAGCTTCTTGATGATCTCAAAGTCAAAGATTGATCTAAAAAGGACAAGGAACAGCAAGGTTAACGCCACATGTCAGTTGCCATAATATTATCCAAGATTAGTGGAACAATCCCTAACAATGAAAATGTTTCATATGAGTTTAATAAAAAGCTAAAAAGTATTTGAATGTATCTGAATTAGATGCGGGTATAAGGTCGTCCTTTGTTGGGTATCTCCAAAATGATTTGAGCAAGTAATGGTTTGAACACAAGCAACTATTTTGAAATTCCCAGAAGGTCAACTTATTAATCTAGCAAGCAGTAGAAGACCTAAGCTAGCAATCATTCACATATTGCAAGGGATAGTGGGTAGGGTCTGGACATTACCTCCACGGTCTCTTCATTATTTATTTAGTAAATAATAAGAGGTTCAGTTTAATGGGACTAACAACAATGTTTCCAGGAAATATGGTATTTCTTATATATGGTCTTTCTATACATTAAGATCCAATCCCAAGTATTAGAATAGAAAAACTATCCGTTTTAATGACCGGCATAGAGTATATCTTCCAATTTTCTTTCTTAAATAAACTGGGTTCAGACATGATGACCTTGTATACAATCATGGCAATACTTGTAGGAAAGAAACGTATATTTCTTGTAAGATATCTATTTTAACCTTGAATGGCATCCTCTAAGATAAACAAAGGAAAAAAAATATTTCAACTTCTTTGCAAAAATTAATTAAGTGGGACTTTACATTGTTAGCTACCCAATAATACTCCTCATAGAGGCGAATCTTGCTATAGTTCAATGGTAGGAGAATTATTGAGCGTCACTGACTCTACAATTATGGACTAATTTTTCCCGGTACCCCTCTACCTAACCTAACAGATTTACAGTGATCCATGTTAGTGTAGACTAACTCTCAGTTAAGTCGTTGTAGACTTTTACACGAGAGTTAGACTCATTTTACATGATAGATTCATCAGAAACAAACCTATCTCATAACAATGGCACGAGTCATAAAGAATCATTGATTCTAATCTAGGTGCAATACGAAATTCATCTGTCCCACAGCTATTTAATTATAACTTATCCCAAAAAATTAAGTAAATTATTGAAGGTTTTAAAATTCGAATTTTGAATGATCGAGCAACATTTAATTGAATCCATAGTGCTACATAAGATAAAATACTGTTGATAGACACATACTTCATCAATTTGACATAATCATCAGTTGCATCAAAAACGTCCACGTCAAATGATCCATCAGGTCCCCCAAAGCTTGTTATTCCAATAGAAGAAATGTCTACCTGTATCAATGATAAAATGACAACATTCGAATCTTAGGGAAGATAAAGACACGAAATCACTACAGAGCTTTGAATCTAAAGATGGTGATGGTTTGCTTTACATCTGGAAGATCTTCTGCGATGAAATATTCATTAATTGTCGTGGTATTAGCATAAATCTTGTCAGTAATCCCCTCAGGCGCAGGTCCTCCATTTTCCATATTGTATTTAATCCCAAAGTCCTTGTAAAACACATCAAAATATAAAGAAAGTGAAAATAATCACAAAGCAACAACGAAAAGAATGCCAAGGATTTCACATTGACCACGGCAATGCAATCAGTGACTGTAAAGAGTGGAGTAAAAATATGAGCAGACAGTGTGTATAATGAAGATCGAAGATGGAAGATTCTGCATTAAAATGCTTAAAACGCATTTTTATGTCCCCTCATTTCTGGGAATAGATTAAAAATGAATAGTCTACTCATAAGAATCATGGCAAAAGAAAGAATAAATCCTCAAGAGTTAAATGTACAATGAAAGGAAATAAAGAATTATTAGAAACTCCTAAATATATACCGTGTGCAACATAAAAGGAAAATATAAACATTAGTTACAGCTTATAAATGTAATGAATATTTTATGGACAGTCACTTCATGTCAGGTGACAACAAAAAGAATACCTCATGAGGGCCACCTGGATTATGACTTGCTGTCAAAATAAAACCTCCTGCTGCCTTGGATCCCTGTTCACCGGAAAACAATATCGACTGAGATTTAAGAAAGAGTTGTTCTCATATTAATATATGACAGAGAAATAAAAAGAAGATCAGTGAAATAGTGAGGGATAAAAACTTGCATCTTTCCCAACTCTTTCACGTATAACAGCTGATACAGCAGGTGTTGATAGGAGTCCATTTTGTCCAACCCAAACACCTTTTACTCCATTTGCAGCAGCCATTTTAATGATAATCTGTAGGTTTCAGACACAAATGTCAAAATACGCCAAAAGGATCAAGATTGCTCCTCCTGGAAAATCGTTAAATAAGCACGTTATAAATAATTCGCACAACTTAAGGAGAAAACTGATTTTCAATCTCCTCAGCTATTCATACAAAATCAGAACTAAGATAAGGATGACGAAAGTAACAGTATCATGAAGGAGAAGAGACGAGGGAGAAAAAAAATAATGAGGGCCATCACTGTTTTCGTACATTATTACATTAAAAAAAAGGATGGTTAAAAGCAGTATCATGAAAGAGAAGTGGCCAGGGAGAAAAACATGAATGGGTGTCACGTTTTTATGCTCTCAGAATAATACATTTATAGGAAGAAAAAGATCTAATCTCTGCCGAATGTTCTCCAACTAGAGAACAAAAATGTATAAATAAGTTCAAAAATAAGATGGCAAACGAACGTTAAGAAGGTTTCTGACGTTGGGCTTGGGCCCATGGAATGGTTGTCACACTGACATTTTCAAATTTTATGCCATCGTGAAGCAAAGCTGGAAATTAGACATATATTACCGCGTCGATTCCAAATTTTTTGAATATAAAACTGAAATTGGAAAAAAAAAAACTTGGATTCAGAATAGTTGCAAACGGAGTCGATGAAAACACCCGCCCATGTCTCGTGGATGGTCCAAATGGTACAGGAAATAACTTAAAATCCACTTTTCATGGAGATGAAAATTTCGTATTCTATGAATGTGTGTAAACTGACTTCCCATGAAATTTTTGTGATGAACCAGAAACAATAAAATTACTTCAGAAAATGTGAGAAGTTGAATCATCTTAAACACTTATGAAGACGCCAAAATAAAGAGGAACAATTGTATGCCAACCTGAATGGCTTCTTCAGAAAAATAGCGTCCATCTCCAGAAACAACAATTGTTGCACCTGACATTGTTGGAGGACAAACAATTAGAGACAGTTAAGGAGGCAAAAAGTACACACTTTTTAAACCATGACCACGAAGCATCTTGAAAATTAGAAGAACACGCTATAAAATAATTATGTAACAATACCTATCAACCGAAAAAAAAAAAGGAGAAGAAGGTAAATGGAATGTAGAAACCCGAAAAAAAAGCCCATCAAGTTGAAGAAAAAAATTGAGGAGAACAGAAACTTGTTTTTATGATAAAAAAATGGACCAAATAGTACAAGACAAAAAAGCATTTTCTTTAATATCTCGAAAAAAGTGTATGAAAAAATAAGCACAAAGTACCTCTGACTTTGTCCGGTGAAAGTGCATTGAATGTTGCTTGAACAAAGTTATGGAGGTAATTAGGTTGCTTGAATACCGTTACCTGGAAAGGGATGACATCATTACACGGTTGGAAAAAAGAAACAATTTTAAATAATGAAAGACTAGAATGGCAATGAACTGGGGAGATGACAAGCTCCCCAGACATTTAAAATTATTCTTCTTGTCGGTTTACATTCTAATTGTCTTTGAGACTTGAGTTTAGCTGGAAATATTATTTATGCTTTGAAAAAGTTCTTCTGAATAGATGAAAACGATAACTCCAAGAATAATAGCATTTTCTGTTGCCACAAATGTTGTGGCAACTGCCGAGGTCCACTTGATGACAGAGCTATTCCACAGGCCTTGTGGTCAACACATTCAAAGGCTATTATTCTCAGACTAGTTTCCTTTTCCTACGGACTTTTATTGATAATCGCTCCATTCCACTTTTCAACAGAGTGAAAAAAAATTCCCCGGCTACATCCAAAAACATTCTTAGATCGTTCGAAGGATATTAGAAAGTGAAATATACGGGAGCTGCCATTACACGTTCTTATCTTGATAAAAAGAAACTATTCATTCGTACGCACACGCTGAAACCTAAGATGAGAATATGAAGAAATGAGAGCACATTTTAGAATTTCGCATGACCACACACCACGATCTTTCAATGTCGAAGCGGATCCACTGTTCTCCCCACCCCATGGTTTGGAAACTTAAAAACAACTATCCGGGATCACAGATATATGAGAATGAATGATATAAACGTAACCAGCATAGAGATCTCATCAACTAGGGGAGATCTCATCACGGCATGAATGAGCGGGGAAAGATCCAAATCAAAGTCTTCCACAACAGAGCATCGCCTCACTAGACAAGGGCACGATCCGCGAAATTCAAACAAGCTCCCATGTGGAGAGGGAACAACGGGTTCGTATGCATGGAGCTGAGAAACAATGACCAGGAGCTCCAACTGAGGAATTCAGAGCGCATAGTTACCTTCTTCCTGAGGCCGGAAGTACCGGGCTTCTGGCCCTGTATCGGAGCAGTCTCCTTCCTGGTGACGGTAAACAAGACCATCTTCCTCTGACTCACAACTCCACAGCAACCGCAACCACAACCGACAGAGTGAAGAAGGGATCGAAAGAGAGACGAGAATATGAAGCAGAGATATGGATCGAGCGGAACAATAGCATATGCTTCGATCCTCCGCCAAGTAGAGATATCAAAGGTGATGGAGGTGACGCGTGCCCCACTCTCTCTCTCTCTCTCTCTCTCTCTCTCTCTCTCTTCTCCTGCGATCTTGTCGGGCCGGGCTCTCGGCCGTTCGTTCTCAGAACACAGCCAAAAATGAAATTTTAAATTAATTAAATAAATAGATAAATAAATAAATTTGTGGTATCAAGAAATCGGGCCATTCTACGGACCGTGTTGGTCCCTGCCTCGATCTTGACGTTCGAGGCAACAAAAGTCAGGGCGGCGGGGAACCGATCGGGCCGGGCCCGGACATGTCGAGCGCAGTTTTCGGCCCGAAAATAGAGATTTGATGCCTTTATTTTCCTGACGGCGGTCGGGTGTCGGTGGGTCGGAAAATTATCAGCCCGGCTATTTAAAGTCCAACTGGGCCACGTGCGCGGGAGAAGAGCCGTGATAGGCCCAAGCCCAGTCATCTCCACTTAATGGGCTTGGGCCCGGATCACATCGGACAGCCGAAATTGGAGCACGCTCCAAAAGTCAGGACGGTGAAGGAAATATACTCTAATTAAGTATATTTAACAGTAAGTATTTGGTTATATATATTTATTTATACATGTGGTCATAAAATGTTGGCGCCAGGAGTCAGGATTCCTCTGGAATCGATTCCGGGCTCCGGATTCCCAAGACCGGGCCGGCCCATTTATATTTTGTGGGCTCGGGCCGCAAGGACGCGCGTTTCACCGACGCGCCACGTGGATGGGCATTATGGTAATCCCACATCCTCCAACGGGCACCTCTCCCGAGTGATAAAAAGGAGCAGAATTTGAAAATATAAAAACAGAGACCGTAAAAAATGTAACGTCGGTTCGGGGAGGCGTACATCGCAACCGTTGACCGAAGGCTCCACCGACCCGATCAGGCCCCCGAGCACGTTGCCAGGGGTGCTGGAGAGGGCGTTTTAATGTCATAACCAGTAGAGAGAGAAAGAGAAGAGAGAGGGAGAGCCAGTGACCACAGCTCAGAGACGCCCCCACAGACCAACCTGACCAGGTCACATGGGAGCTAGCTCTTCGTGTGATGGGGGCTTCTCTCTCTCTCTCTCTCTCTCTCTCTCTCTCTCTCTCTACCCTTTAGCTTTTTCTCGGCCTCTGCTTTTCCTTTTCCCTTTTGTTAAAGAGACGGTGATTCGCGAGCCCACCAGCGAAGCAGTGTGATCCCAAGGTCGCCGGGTTTCTTCGGATCGGAAGGGAGAGATCGATCGAACAGAGAACTCAAATCAAAGACCCGCGATTGATTCCACCGTTCACCGCCCAAGAAATACACAAGATTGTATGAAAATGAAGCAGAAAAAAAAAAAGGAGAAGGAAGAACACAGGCGGAGTTCCTCGTCCTAAGCAACACCGATCGATGATGGAGACGGAAATGAGACCCGATCTGCAATGTGGAAGACGAGAGAGGAAGAAGAAAAAAAAAAAAATCAAGGGTTGGTGATGATCAGGAGCCTGACGAAGATGACGAGTGAGTGCTGGCAGTAAAAGCCTGGCTGGTGACTCAAGGTGCTGCTGCGGCGGCGCCGCCACCGCCGTCGGCCAGAGCTTCCGGCTGCAGACCTGACTCCCCCTTGTCCACGCTCGACCGGTGGATGTCCTCAATCCTGGCGACGACCTCCGCCATGGAAGGGCGCTTGTCCGGATACTGTACAGTACAGTCAACGGCGAGCTGGAGGAGCTGCATCATTTCCTCCTCCACGTTCTGGTATCTGAGAAGCTCGGAGTCGAAGACCTCGGAGGTCCACTCCTCCCTGACCACCGACTGAACCCACCGCGGCAGGTCAACCCCCTCCTCGTTGAGCAGCGCCTGCGCCGGCGCCTTCCCGGTGAGCAGCTCCAGCAGTAGCACGCCGAAGCTGTACACGTCCGCTTTCTGCGAAACCTTGCGGGCGTCGGTGACCTCGGGAGCGCGGTAGCCGGCGAGTCGGTTGGGCAAGCTCGCTGGACCGGCGAGGTGGGAGAGGCCGTGGTCGGAGACGCGGGCGTTCTGCGGCTTGTCCAGGAGGATGTTGGAGGACTTGATGTTCCCATGGGAGGAGCTCGGGCCCGTGGAGTGGATGTACTCGATCCCCCTGGCGGCGGCGAGGGCGATGCTCACCCTCGTCTCCCAGTGCAGCGGCGACCTCCCCGATCCTCTGCTTCCTGCGCAGAGAAAAGATGAACACGATGCATCAGAGGTGGGAGGAGGTCGGGAAGAAGAAGCAGAAGAAGAAGAAGAAGATCTACTCACCGTGGAGGAGAGAGGAGAGGCTGCCCATGGGCATGTAGTCGTAGACGAGGAGCTTCTCGTCCTTGCTGAAGTAGTAAGCCCAGAGAGGGACCAGGTTGGGGTGGGTCATGGCGCCGACGGCCTCGATCTTCTCCCTGAACTCCTCCTCCGGCAGGTTAACGTCTCGCAGCCGCTTCACCGCCACCACGGTTCCCATCTCCAACACCGCCTTGTAGGCGGTGCCGAAGGTGCCCTTGCCGAGCACCTCCGCAGAGGCCCTGAGCAGATCCTCCAGATCGAAAACCCGCGGGCTGGTGCCGCAGAAGACGAGCTTCTTGCTCTGGCCGCCGCTTGCGGTGTCGCCCTTCGGTCTGGTGGCCGCCGCTCCCGCCAAGGCAGCGGCGGCGCCGCCGCCTGCGGGATACGCCCCCCCGGCAGCGCCACCCCCTTCTTCTCCGAGTCCTTTGTCTCTCATCGGCACCTCGACCTCCGACGGCTTCGCACCCGCTGCCTCCAGAGATCTGGTCTTGTTCCCCCCCTTTTTCCGGCAGACGACACAGAGGAGCAGGACGAGGGCCAGGAGGCCGACGACGGATCCGATGGCAATGCCGGCTATCGCTCCACCTGAGAGTTTCTTCTTCCCCCTCCTCACCGAGGCACCGCCGCCATTGTCAACCGGAGTAAGCCCGATCGGCGCCGACGAGGGGACGACTTCGTCGGGGCAAGGGTTCGAGGGCAACCCGCAGAGCTGGAGCCCGAGGAAGGCGTTCTCCGGCATGGACCGGAGACGCCTTGGGATGGAGCCATTGAGCTGGTTGTAGGAGACATTGAACTGGTCCAGAGTGAGATTGAGGTCGGGGATCTGGCCGGAGAGCTGGTTTCTGTCGAGGTACAGGGTGCGGAGCCGCTTGAGATCGTTGAAGTCCGCCGGGATCTCGCCGGAGAACCTGTTCCCGCCGAGGTTGAGCCGGATCAGGTTCTCCAGGGAGAAGACGGACGGGAGGATCTCGCCGGAGAGGCGGTTGTCGTGGAGGTACAGATTCCGGAGCTCTTTGAGGGAGGACAGATCCGCCGGCAGTGGGCCGGAGAGGGCGTTGAACCGGAGACTCAGCGTCCTGAGTCCGGTGAGGTTCCCCAGCACTCCAGCGGGAATCTCGCCGATGAGACCGGCGCCGGGAAGGCGGAGGATGACCACGCGACCGGCCTCGCAGACCACCCCCTGCCATGCGCACGGCGAGATGGAGTCATTCCAGGAGACGGCCAACCTGCCGACGGCCTCCCGGAAGGCCAGTAGCGCCGCCCTGTCCGACTGCAGATCCGGCCTCGCCGCCGGTAACGAGGAGAGAACCACCAAGAAGAAGAAGAAGAGCGGAAGAGCCGCTCGCGTCGCCATCCGCGAACTCCGACGGCAGGAGAGAACCTCCACGCGAGCAGGGGCCAGGCCTCACAGAGCGGCGCGGGCGGGGAGGAGCGCCATGAAAGTGCTGCCCTCTCCTCTTCTTCCTCCTGGCGGCCGGCGGCGCAGAGATGAGCAGGTGGGGCGGACTGAGGAGGAAGACGATGAAAACTGAAAAGGGCAGGTCGCACAGCGCCAGCAGAGCGAGAAGACAGCTGTTGTTATGGGGGCCGTGGGGGAGCGTTTCCCCGGTGGGGCCCCTTTTCCCCAGACCTCATAAAAACCCTAACCGCGCTCCCCACCCCCTCTCCCTGCTGGCGTCATTATTCCTTTATCTAATCACCCGTATGAAAATCCCCCGAAACTATAATATTTTTTTATTTTTTTCATTATTAAATGCCTTTCCTGCCAATCATATGCCGCGCCACGGCTTTTCTTATGCGGCCACGTAGCGCCGGCGCCGGCGCCGCCAGCCGTCACCCTCCCGCACGTGACGGCGGGGCGTGGCCACCTGGAAGCAGGTGGTCGTGGGGGATGAACGAGTGTGGGCCGGGTCAACACGGACGAGTTCGGAACTCGCTCCTCACCGATTCCGAGCATTTATTTACCACCGAGTCCGACGAGCGAGATCGGTGGAACTCGCTCCGCACGCACCCCATTAAATTATATCTCATTAAACTATGTACTATACTCGAGGTATAAACTAAGCTCAATTTAGAGAGAGAAAGGAGGAGGGACGCCCTCCATGGGAGTTCGTCGGTGCCGTCCGATGGATGGATCTTTTGAAAGATCGACGGCAGAAAAGGACGGAACAGCGCCGAAAGCGCGACGAGGGACCACCGATTGGACGATTCTGAGGAGGAAGAGTGCGCAGGCGAATATGCCGCCGCTGGGGCAGCGTCGACTGATAGGGCAATCTCCTGTCTCATTGGTCCACGTGCGCATGAGAAGAGCCAATTACTGCGGTGGGACGGTCGGCTTCGCCTCTGCCGCCGGCGAACGGAGAGACACCGGCACCGGCCCCGGTGAGGCTTCTCTGAGACCCCTCTCTCTCTCTCTCTATCTCTCTCTCTATCTCTCTCTCTATCTCTCTCTTCAATGGCAGAGGGAATCGTAAATCTGGTTCTAAAAGTTTACTGTATTCTGTACTCCTCGTCCTCTGTCTCACTGTTTCCCCCTCGCCAGCCAACTCAGAGCTCACATGCACAGGGGAGGCCTCTCTCTCTCTCTCTCTCTTTCTCTCTCTACCGCATTACCTTCCGCGGAGGGATCCGTTCTCCATGGGAAGTGGAAGGAATCGCACAGGAGTCAAAGGGGTTCTAAAATCGGTAGACTCATGTAGCAGTTGCTACTCTCGTTCATGGTGTAGGTCATAGATCTCTCTCTCTCTCTCTCTCTCTCTCTCTCTCTCTCTACATATAAATATATATATAACACTAGATCTTCCCTAAAGTGGGTATCTTCATTTAGAAGTTACCATTACTGCTCACGACACTGGGTCGCCAACAAGTCTTCTCTCTCTCTATCTCTCTCTCTCTCTTCTTCTTCAGACCCTTCTTGGTTTTTAATGCCCATATAAATCTGTCAAGATAACAAGCCATCGAACCATTTTTTTTTGGGAAAAATGTGCCTTTTGACTTTCACAACAACCCTTTCGTGCACTCTGTGCAAGGAGGTTACCCGACCGTTTTCCTTTGTAATTGAGCTATTCCTGGGAGACATTTTATGCTGGAATGTTTCCCGAAGGGTAGGTGACCACCCGCCCGAGCGCAAATGACACTGTACGTTGACTTTACCTAGTCGGGTATCTTATCTGGACTAAAGTCAACTATGTCCTCGGGTGACTTTGACTTATTGCTTAATATATTAGCCTCAACCAAATCAAAAAAAAAGAAAAGAAGGTGAAACCCATCTTCCTGGTAATTTTACGAGCTGGGTGGCTTAAATCTAATATCTCTCTGTTTCTCTCTCTCTCTCTCTCTGACTCAATGTCAGATATCATTGTCACCGCTAATAGTCACCTAGTTTTAGAGAGAGAAAATCGACGGTAATGCACCTCTTCATCACTCCTCAATTAGAACCACTGCTAGCAATCCCCTCCACTGATTCCACCGCATTTAGATCACCATCGCCCTACTGCTGCCACTGTTCTTCCTATCGACGCTCACCGCGGTGGTGGAGAGGCCACTCCGATGAGCAGCTCGCTCCTCATATATAAGACCATCGCCATGGCAAGTAAGGTTCCCCGGGAAGAAGATGAAGCGGCTGGTGGTGGTCGTCCTCCTACTGGCGGCACTAGTAGCCGTGGGCTCCTCCGCCGCGCCGGCGGCGGCGGGGGGGATCTCCGGGAGCTCCGCCGCCAACCACCACACGATACCGAGGAAGGATTTTGGTGGGTTCGACGGTTCTGAGAGCCCTCCCGGCGGCGCCGCCGCCGGAGGACGGCAGGGGAAGAGTTAGACGGGCGTGCATGGCCGCCCGGGAAGGTGGTACGTACGTAGTATGGAAGCTGAGCCGTGAGGATTGCGCCATCTTCTTCCTCGCTCCATGTCAAGCAGCTAAATAAGCGACGGGTTGTTCTCGATGGGCAGTCAGAATATGATATGAAAACTAGGTTGTGTTCACCTACTATGCCTTGGCCTGGATCTCTCTCTCTCTCTATCCCTCTCTCTCGCTCTATCTATATGTGCATAGGTTACGACGTCTAAGAATGGTTTTATGTTCACCTAGGGACCCTCTGGTTTTGTTCTCTCTCTCTCTCTCTCTCTCTCTCTCTCTCTCTCTCTCTCTACCTCTCTCTCGCTCTACCTATCTATATGTGTATACGTTACGACGTCTAAGAATGGTTTTATGTTCACCTAGGAACCCTTTGGCTTTGTTTTTCTCCTCTCTCTCTCTCTCTCTCTCTCTCTCTCTCTCTCTCTCTCTCCCCCTCTCTCTACGTGTATACAAAAAGGTATACGATGCAGGGAAGGTTATTATAATATCTCGAAGAATCTTATATAATATCTACAGTCCGAGCAGTCGACGTTTTGTGATTCATTTTCCCTGCTATATGGTGTTTATAGTCATTCAGTAGGAATAAGTGAATCGTATAACAAATGTCATTTACTAAAAAATGAAGAAGGTTTCACCCATTCAAAGTGACCATCTTCGTGTGGATCATTTTAGAGCGAGAGAGAGAGAGAGAGAGAGAGAGAGAGAGAGCAATCGTTCAGCAATTACACCATCCATAAGGCAGCACTTATCAGCCTGTAAAGCGCGAAATCATGGAGAATCCAGGCTCCTGCATATCCCATAAACCCTTTCAAAAAATTTCCTCCCACCACTTATTGCCACCTTCATGAATGACCTAATTTATAGAGAGAGGTTGATTTGGTCCTTCAAGTAGAAAAAAAAAAAAAAAAAAAAAAAAAACCAGCATGATCAACCCCCCCGGGCTTCTCATGCTAAAGCTGAAGAATGAATGAGCTCGAGATATTGGCTGCAGCCTTCCCAGGAATCCAGCAAGGAGTCAGGCAATTGGAGAAGGTTCAACCACGCACCTTCTGGAAAAGTATGGCTTCACTCAGATGAGCCGCCATTTAATTCAGCTCGTGAAATCATGGATTTGCCTAAAATTCCACGCAAAAGCTCCAAGAAAAATCCAACATTCAGTTTTCTAACTCGAGTAAAGAACTGATTTTAATTATTTCCATGGCATTCCTAATGAAAGTTATGGTAGCGATTTTTACACCCATTTGAAAATCAACTTGGGCGAAATCACTCCCCTCTTTTGGAATGGGGAGGATAAACCAATGTCAGAATCTTTAACTCCCTGAACTGGTCAGAATCTTTAATCAAATAATTTCAATATTTATCAAAGATCTACGATAAAATAAAGTTGAAAATGTTTTCTAAACTATACTCACCATGGGGAGATATTCTTCTCGTTCATTCAAGGACAATAAATTACATCATCAACTGCTATTGTTAGCTATTTCCAAAGAAAACCTAATACTTTTCTGGTCTACTTGGACTCTGTGTGTGTGTAAAACACGAGCAGGATTTTCACAAACCATTTTCAGGTAAGGCAACTTCGGCATCAACTCCCATTCACCAGCCACTAATATTTCATCCTATGTCAATGATTTACTTTTAGGCAGTCCTTTCTCTGCTTCTCAGATTTCACCTATCAATTCAGATTGGTTCAAAACTAGCAATGAAAATGGGAACGTAATGTCTGAATTTAGCAATGGACGCAACGTTTAAATCATAAAAAGGAGATCAGCAGGTGTACCACTAATTAGATAACTCGATGGAATTGAATTTCAATTCCAAATTCTTTGAGGGCACATGAGAAAACACTGGTAACTGTCACTTTCCAAAAGAAGAGTAATTTGCAATCAGCTGTTCTGCTTGATTGTATTCTCCAAATCAAATGGTCGAATAGAAAAAGATATCAACCAGCATATGAATTTAATCAACCAAGCGACAACCTTCAAGCTTTCCATCGTTTCTAAAAGCAATGCTACTACTCCATCATCAAAAAAAATACGCGGGAGGAGACTGGGGTCATAATGAGACAGGTTTCCTCAGGAATACACCCAAACAAACAGCTGTAGCACATGTCTGTACGAAAAAAGGGAATCAAAGCAATCAGGAGAAAGGCAATGCCCAATAAGGTGGGAAAACTTAGGCAGCAGATGAAGCTTCAGTTCATCTCAGATCAGCACCTCATAACTCGTCGACTACGACATGAGAAACTTTTTTATGTAGAGCCTTATCTTTATTAAATGATATGGTACACTTCTTTGACCGTCAATGAAGAACATCACTGAACCCCACTTCGACGGTTTTCCGCTTTAATAAGCGCTAGTGAAGCGCATATCATATAAAGATCAGGTTTCTTCGAGGAATTTATGGCTAAGTATGACTGAAGGAACGAATAAGGCTTGGTATAATTATACTCTGGAAGATACCATCCCTGTTATTAAACGATGCTCAACCATACAGAAGACAAACGAATTTAATATGGAGCAACATTTCATCACTGACACTCACATACGATCTCTTCAAATGGGGCACTTTATCAGTTAGAGACTTGTATCAGATAATACTCACATACGTACATATCCTGAAGAAAAAAAAGAGCTTAAAAAGGAGGGAAGAAGGTTCGAAACGCGCAGCTCACGATTATCTCCCTCAGTTCAGGCCGGCTACCCGGGGTAATTCGTGCCAAGGGCCTATCATACTCCGAGATCAAATCACAACCGCGCGATGCGAGCGGATCAATCCTGGTTCTTGAGCTTCTCCAGGCGTTGCGACAGCTGCTGGTGGCGGAGGACGAGGTTGGTAACGGAGAAGAGGAGCCAATAGAAGACGAGGGCGGCGGCAATGAGAAGGGCGTTCCGCTGGCTCTTCATCACCGATTTCTGGTGTCGTAGGTACTCAGAGGGGGTGCAGGCGTGCTCCTCGCCGCAGGTAGGTCGCATCTCGTACTTCCAGTAGATGTCCATGAGTAGGAAGAGGCAGAAGGGAACCACCGAGAGCAGCGGCTTGAGGGCGCTCCTCGTGACCGCGACCAGGCCTTTGCGGAGGCCGTCCAGCCCCGGCAACGTCAGTAGGAGCAGCATCACCGCCTCCGCCCCCGTAGCGTAGCTCAGCACCACCCACTCGAGCGCCATCGCAGCAGATCGGAGTCCCCTTCACACCACCAAACCCTAGAGCGACAGATCGGGCCGAGAAGGGGCGGAAGGAGCAGCCGAAACGTTCGATGCGAAAAAGACTAGAAGACTCCTGTTACTGCCGCTCCCTTATTTATAGTTGCCCTCGCCGAACGACACGTGGCTTGGAAAAAGTTCCCCGAAGCAGCGGATTTGCTTCGCGGCGAAGAATGGAACCGAGAACAGGGAAGGGCCTGTGGCCCACTCAAGCCCAATAGCTCGTCGTTAATACTTCAAAACCCAAATGGGCCGCAGGACCGCCCCCTAAATGGGCCACCGTCCTCCCTCACTCTTCATATTCCTCCTCCTCTCCGTTTCTTCCTCCTATTCGTTTCCCTCTTTCTCCTTCTCAGTTTCTTCCTTCTTCTTCGCCCTTCTCTTCCTTCCTCCACCTTCTTCTCCGCCCTTCTCTTCTCTTCCTCCTCCGCCTTTTCTTCGCCCTTCTCTTCTATTCCGCCCTCAACCTTCTTCTTTGTGGTGGACCGAACAGAGAAAAGGGTGCACAGTGGACTCACGGTGACCGTGGGGGCCCTCACAGTCAGAGGGTTAAACCCCGTTCCCGCTCGTGCCAGACGACAAACGTCCATTACTTCAACGGCGACCGCTGACGGCGACGTCTACCCTCCGGCTGCGGGTTCATACAGCGACGCCCAAGCCGACGCCTTCCCCTGTCTTCGGAGGATCTGATCTACAGAAGCTAACTCGCCCGCTACCTCCCTCTCGAATTCTTGGGGTATCATCGACGTGAAGACGAAGGAAGGGACACACTCGCACCTCTACACGGCGGACCCCTCTCTCTCTCTCTCTCTCTCTGCTCGTTCATTTGTGTCATGCATTCATCTTGGTGAAATCGAAGTCCCACGTAGTCCCCATTAGTTTATGCATTGAAGGCGATAGATTACCGCTCTCTCTCTCTATCTCTATCCCTGGGAGCTTCAATAATTTGCGGGTGGGGTGGGGTCTTCTTGTGGGGGCAGCAGAGGATGGTAGGTAGGGAGGAGTAGCCAGTGGACTCGAGTGGGCAGGAATCCCAAGAACCCACCTTCCGAATAATTTTTCCTCGTTCATGTCCTTAAGCATTAGATCTGACTAGATAGAGAGAGAAAAAAGGCGCTAAACCGAATCTAATCATCCGAGGAGACGCTTTGACCCCCTGATGATAGACGGCTGCCCACTCCCGTATTCTCTAAAACTCTTACCGGAGAATAAAATAATGTCAATTTACGCAAGTTGACCATGTTTTACTGATGGGTCAACCCCCGTGGATTAGCCACGATGGCTAGCAGGTTATATAACTATATATAGAAAAAAAACGGCTTTAAAGAAAGTGTCGGTCTTGCCCAGCTGCACCCCACTTGGAGGAGAGAGAAGGAGCGGGGGAAAGCCCATGCAGCCTTTCCACGAGGTTCTTCTTTTCATGGGGTTGCCACCATATGAAGCGTCGTCGTAGAGCGGGACTCCCCACCACCCCCGGATACCAACAAGCCCAAACGGGCCCATCAACCCAGAAGGTCGGATCTTGGGAGGTAAGCTCACCGGCGAATGAAGACACTCAATGAGGGAGGATGGTATATATGTCAATTTGAGAAATGATGGGCGCTGTTTGTGAATTGGAGAAATGACAACGGCGCCTTGGGACAGAAGGGGGAGGGAATCTCGATTCGGTCAAGGATGGAATAGTTAATGAAACAAGCATGGGCATATGACTGTAAATCACCTCCACACAACGATCATCTCGTTTTCACGTTGACGGTCCAGATTGATCCGTTCAATCGTCTCCTCTCCTCTTTCCCCCCCCCCCCCGGTCCCTTCACCGACCTTTTCTCCAACCATGCAGAGGGACTTAAGTACCAACTCTCGACTCCAGCTGCACAGCCCCAAAACAGACCAAAAGGGTAGAGAGAGAGAGAGAGAGAGAGAGAGAGAGAGAGAGAGATGTCGGGAGTCTCCTCTCCTCCCATGATTAGATCCTTCTCCTCCTCCCTCTTCTTCTTGCTCCTGCTGACTTGCCTCCGTCATTCTCTCGCCGACGACATCGGCTCCTTCGTCTACGCCGGCTGCACGTCGACAAAGTATCTACCGGGGACGCCCTACCAGTACAACCTCAATTCACTCTTCTCGACTCTGGCCAACGCCGCCGGCTTCACCCCCTTCGCCAATTTCACCTCCTCATTCGCCTCCCCCCCCGCGGCAGTCACCGGGCTCTACCAGTGCCGCGGGGACATCTCCATTCCTGACTGCCAGACCTGCGTCAGGTCTGGCATCCCCCGGCTCTCCTCCCTCTGCTCCGCCGCCTACGGCGGCGCCCTGCAGCTGCAGGGCTGCTACCTCCGCTACGGCAACGAGTCCTTCCTCGGCCAGTCTGATAAGTCCATCGCCTACCAGAAGTGCGGCCCCGGCGCCGGCAGTGGCAACTACGGCGACCTGATCGGGATGCGCGACTCGGTGCTGGCGGCCATCAACGTCGGCGCGGGCGGGCCTTACCGGGTGGCGCGGGCGGGGTATGTGGAGGGGATGGCGCAGTGCGTGGGTGACCTGAGCGCCATCCAGTGCGGCGGGTGCCTCGCCGACGCCATCAACGCGCTGCGTTCCGCCTGCGGCCTCGCTGTCTCCGGCGAGGTCTACCTCGCCAAGTGCTACGCCAAGTACTGGTCCAAAGGGGGTTACGGGTCGCCCTCAAGCCACGGTAAGCAGTTTTCCGGCGATGCCTTGTGGTTTCACTCTCTCCTCTTTCTCTCTTTCCGCTTTTCGTGGTAGGCCTGCTTCCTGCTGTAGATTGTTACCATCCCTATCTCCCGTTATTCTCCTCCTAATCTTAAGCTGACGTAGAACCCTCCGGCGGGGCAGCGTACGGTCGCCTTGTTCTCTGTCTAATCACAAAGCATTTCCGTACTTAGGGCGTGAGATCAGTGATAAAGTTGTGATTTTTCCGTGGTGTTGCACCCCGAACAACTTATCCGCTGGTTAACTTATACGATGAAAGTCAAAAGGAAGGGAGGGGGGATTCAAGGAGGGATCTGAGAGACGGGATGGTGGATTGGTGGTGGCCCGGGGGTGTCGTGATCTGAGAGCCGTGAACCCTCGTGTCTACCTCGATTGATTGCGCTAGAGGGCGGCGCTGCGAAGCAGACAAGGCTGTCTGTTCAGGCCCGGGCGGCCAGCTCGTGGCGTCCACCGAAGTCCTCCTCTTGCAATCGGAATAGCGGCAATCGGAGGGTCTATCAAGCGGGTCTTTAACCGAGTTGAGCGTCGTGGTGGGGATATCTATTCCGGAAAAGATGAATCTCGCTTTCCTCCGCCCCTTTCCGCACCTGATTTCCGGACAAAAAAGAACGGAATGGCCCCTTTTCCTCTGGCTTTAGGGATGTAGCACCATCCTTTCTTTCTCTTGTTCTTCCCTCTCTCTCTCTCTCTCTCTCTCTCTCTCCTTTTTATCCTGATCACGGTGAAGATGACGACTTTCCTCAGTGCCAGGTCACTCGGGCTCGTCGAAAACCGATGAAACCAGCAAGACAATCGCCATTATCGTCGGTGTCTTGGCCGGAGTCGTCCTCCTCATCATCTTCCTCTCGTTCCTCAGGAGGGCTGCCGACGGCGACCACGGTGGGCTTCTGGACACCTCCAAAATCAGTCAACGGTGACTAAAGCAGCCATGCTGCTCAGACACCGGGCTTTACTTGGTTGACTTTCGCACAATTTTTCTCTCTAACGCTTCGTTTCCCCCCTGAAGGTAAACACTGAAGAAGGGACCGGACGCCATGGCTGCACGAGGACTTTACCCTCTTCATTTCTTATTTTTACGTCGAAACCTTCAAGACCCACCTCCTAGTCCTCTCTCTCTCTCTCTCTCTGCTCCTTGCCTTCAGAGGATCTTTCTCTCTCTTACTATTTTCTCAAGGAGAGCTTCTTGGTGAAGGAGGAAGGAGGAAGTAGGAAGGTGGGAAAGTCAGCAAGGGAAGAGGGAAAGTCCTCCGAGGGTGCAAATATTCCAAACCCTGCCTTCCGACCCCCCCACTGCAGACGACGAAATAAGAAAATGTATACCACTGTTTTTCAGTACTGTCAACAGGTTGACCGTCTCCACTTGCCTGTGACGTCATCTTCCTTTTGGTTATGTGGCACTAGAGACGTTGACGTGCATACACCTACGAATGTATTGGCGGTGGAGTCTTCAATGGATGGGTGTGGGGTGAGTGCGTAGAGAAGAACTCCTGTGGCTCCGTCAGGCTTCCCATCTCCACCCAACTCGATTATTATGGCGTGAAGCGCGACTGAGTCAGATCTGGTTAAAATATGTTGCCAGTGGCAACAGGTCGCAGGCCCGAGTATCTTCTTCGAAGCACGAGTTTCGTAAGGAACCCAAGATAAGATCTCACAGAAGGGCGGGGGCACTAAGGAGGGAGAACCTCCTACAGAAGTAAAGAACCATACAAACTTGAGAGAACTGTGGGCGACTGCTTTTAGACACTTGGAAGGGATGAGCGGTAACACAACCTTGAAGTTAGAAACAAAAGACAGCTAGAAGGTTTCTTGGATAGACCTGGCCTTTTCCCTTCGTATTCAACTCTCTATGTGTGAGTATGTATGTGGGGAAGAAGAAGGGGGGAGAGAGAGAGAGAGAGAGAGAGAGAGAGAGAGAGAGAGAGAGAGAGGGAAAGAGGAGGGGGGAAGAGAGAGAGAGAGAGCGAGAGAGATGACTTCCCTCGTCCTGATGTCCCTGGGGCTCAAGTGAGGCTTGAATAAGGAATGCTATCTTACTTGTGCTATACGGGGGCGTTTGGTAGCGTGTTAATTTAGAAGAAGCTTTAGGTATCCAAACGCACGTGAAGTCGTTTGGCAGTCGTTTTCACGGGGGTATCTGAGCCGCACTCGGCCTCGGGCAGCCTCTTGTGTGAGGCTTTTCTCTTCTGTTGGGAGTCAACTTCGGCGCTAAGGCGCCGACAGGCGATGGTGGTGTATCAGTCGACTCCAAATATATAGCTTTCAAGTGTTTGTGATGTGTCGTTAATGGAGGTGGGTAATAACCGTCGCATCCATCTGACCGGCCAATCAGTGATGAATTCCTGATGATGGCCGATCCTTTCTCTAACCATTCCTTCCTTCCGCACTATTCCCCAGTCAGTCCTTGGACAACCTCTCTCTCTCTAGCCCTCTGCTAAGTCACTGTCTGGGGATATGAGAAGTCTTGCTTTCTCCTCCTGGGCGAGCAGGATGCGGGGTGGGGGGAGGGATATTTGGGGAGGGCACATGGAAAGGCGAGCGGGAGATTATACCTTGGAAATATAGAAATCCCCATTCATCGTCCACCCTTCCTCCGAGGACGAGAGGCCCTGCGCAGAAGCATATAGAAAGGGAACGCTGAATATATCTGTATATTCGCTTTAAACATTCCTCTGAAGAAGGCCATGAAAATACTCGTCTGGAAAGACGAGGCTCCGGAGAGGATGAATACTGTTCGTGCCTGCATGCTTCCGTTGGCGAAATCTTCGGCTTTCATCGAGAAAATAAGACAAAAACCTAACCTTATTGATGAACTATATTATTCGGGCGGGTGCTTTTTCTAAATTTGGGCCTCAAATCAAGCACCGACAAAAGAAAATGTTTGACCTGACCCGGTCCTCTTCCGGCCTTCAAAACCCAAAGGGCGAGAACCTCTCTTTCTCTCTCTCGCTCTCTCTGGAGATTGTGCACCAGTGGAGGAGAACAGTTGACGTAAGGAGGCCACGAACGAAAATCCAGCTCCGAGGTCAGCTTCGCAACCATGGGAAGCCACCCTCCCCTTCCCCTGCCAGCATTAGCTCGCCAGTACCCACGTGGGGTGGGTGACAGATCAGGTGAGCATGATCGGGAGGCTATGCCACCTCAACCAGCCAGCCTCTGCCTTGAGCTCTTATTCTAACAGTGGGAAGGCAAGGGATGACAGCGGTGCACAGCTAACTAGCGGATTTTCAATGGAGTTGGGTGCATGAGGAAGATGACGATTCAGCTGTCCAGGTCAACGTCAAGCGCATTGGCTTACGTTCATCGCAGGGATCTCGTCGCCGGCCCATGTGATCCCTCCGTTGATGTGATCCACCGGCCGTCTTTCACAGTGATATACCATTATAACTCTAACCTCCATTCTAACTCGGGCCGTTCCCGGGACTACGAAAAAAGCCCCAAAATGGTCTCTTGGTGAGGCTCCTATGAAGTATGGGCTTCGGGCCTGGGAGGGGTTACCACTCCCATGGGAGGGGTGATCATCCGGGCTTCCAGCCTTCAGGGCCGTTTCTGTAAAGCCCAGGCCCGGCGCAGACGAGCCTTCATTTAGTCGATGTCTAATTTTAAGGCTAAAGCCTAAAATAACGATAGGTCAAACTTGCCTTAACATCAGGTCAGCATGATGTGACGTTTGCGACGAATCCTCTAAAGTCAACTCGGTTCACTTGATTAGTTAAATGGGCAAGCAGGAAAATAAAAAAAGCATTGCTCTCAACAAGCAAACTAGCTTAGCCCAAGTGGTAAAATCGGGGGTTTGAAAAAATAAAATAAAAAATAAAATAAAAAAAATCGGGGGTTTGGATGAGATTCCGTCATGCCCAGCTCATATTGGGCCTAAATACTAAGGCCCAGATAAACTTCGGGCCTGGGCTTGGAACGAAACCCAGGCCTGGCTCACCCAGCACGTGTGTGTGGTTTTTCGTTCTTTTTGGGCGGCGGTGGTTAGGCAACTAGGTATGCTTCAATGCATGGCCCTGACTGAGCCAAAGTTTCTGCCAGCTCGGTGTTTGGTATATTATTCTTCTGTTATCGACCATGAACTAAGAAAAGTTCAAACTAGGTCTTTAGGTCCTTACCTCCATCTGTCAGAGGAACCCATTAACTGTAAGCTCATTGGCAATCATCACATGTTATAGTCATTAGGCCTGCCAATCTCAGCAGAAATCGATCAACTTTTTTTGTTAAATTTTGCTAACTCTTACACTCATTGGAAACTCATGACGGTTCATTTCTTGCATTAAAAGGAAATTATTTAATTATTTTTTATCATGAGACATGCTAAATAGTTCTATTTTTAGACTATTTTTATCATGAAATATTGTCTTAGTTTTAGACTTGACACTTCAGGGCTACCACTCACCCTCCCTTAACTATGATCCTAATATTTTGCCAGAATATCATCAAAATGAGCATTCAAGACAATGCCTAAATACTTGGTTGATTGCTAGAGAGAGAGATGGGTCTAGGAATCTCACTAGCAAAGATAAATCAACATCTATGAAGAAACATTCTATTATATTATTGTTGATGAGGTGAATTTGTAAAGAACATGGTGACATTGTGTAAATGCTCCCCTAATAAATTTACTACACCTGCAACAAGGACAACGTTGACTCATATTTATAAAGGTATAACACGATGAGCCCAAAAAGCTTAATAATCAGGTTTTTTTCATCTTTAACTTTCATATACTCATTTTACATATGGTCAAATTTTTAGTATACTATTATATAAACCTTATGCAAACAAGCACACTCACAAATCAACCATCATAAATGTTAATGAGAATGACATACTTTCTTTAATGGTATTACCTTCTTTTTGTTGAGAACTTTTGATGCATATCGCTAACATTGTGATAGGTTGAGTTTGATGATAGAAAAGAGAGGATTTTTTGATAACTTGGATTACTTTTTATGCAAGGGTTTTAACCTAAACAGAAAAAAGTGTGAAGTTTTTTTTAAATGAGCGTGACAATATTTGATTATTGGAAGCTA